CATTTAATCGCAACAACCTCTTGACCAAAGTCTATCTTTGATTTTGAAAACTGTTTTGATTTTGAAAAATAAGCGCAGAGATTGAGAGAGATATTATGAAGATATTAAGGGCCTGTTTCAATTCTCCCAATGGAATTGAGTCATCGCGACAGCTCTAGGCTTATGAAAAGTTTAGCTAAGCATGACAAAAGTCATACTTAGCATTTGAAAACAAAGCTTGAAAAATAAAAGAAAAATGAAAAGAACTTGAAAAGTAAAAAGAGAAAGCTTTTATAAAAACTAGAGAGAAAAGAAGAATGTAATTCGAATGATGAGTTTAGGCTTACCCCAAGTGGGCGTTTATAGCCTCTTAAAGCCTAAGGATAAACAAGAAAATAAAATAAAATAATCCTAAGATAATTTGTTTTCAAATTTAAATTCAAACTTAAACTAGTCTCCTAATGCAACTCTGCTCGTCCATCTTCCAGAAGGCGTGCGGAGAAAGTCTTCTAGAAACCGTCGCTAACTGGACCTTCTAGAAACCGCCATGTCAGCCCGCGTCGTGCCCATGTCTCCAGCCGTGACCAAATAATAAAAAAATGCAGAATGCACCCGTTTTGTCACTACTTCTGGAAAGTGAGGACCTGCACGAAAACAAGTATAACATGACCAATTCAGCAGCAATAATTCCACAAAATCGAAGAAATAACGAGCAAAGATTAACGATTTTGAGCACTCATCATCGGGTAAAATCGGGTACATGTAAATTCAGGTTGATTTGACACCAGATCTAGATTGGGTTCAGATCAGGTCAAATCAGTTCGGGTTATTTTCAGGTTGATTTGACACCAGATCCAGATCGGGTTCAGGTCAGGTCATTTTCAGTTTGGATCGATGTCAGTTCAGGTAAAAACAACTCAGGTCCGAAGCAGATAAAGACTAGGTTAATTCAGGTTTTGGTTGACTTCAGTTAGATCTCGTTCAGATCGGGTAACATCATTGACAGATAAAATTCAGGTCGGATGTTTTTCGGATACGGATTGAGTTCAGGTCGGGCCGTTTTTATTTTTTTGGATTAATTATTTTGTCATATTTCGTGATTGTTGAATTGGAAGTTGTAATTGTATATGATTTTGAGTAAAATAAGAGAAAAATAAATATTCATGGAATAATTTTGTAAAAAATATAAATTTAATGACAAAATTGAAGAAATGTAAAATTACAAGTAAAATCTTAAAATATAAATTAAACAACACACATAGGTAAGGGACTAAATCGAAATAAATTTAAAATGTGAGGTTTAAATTAATATAAAAAAAAGACTAAATTAAGCACATTTAAAAAATTATGGGCCAGTTACAAAAATATAAATAAATAACAACTAACAATGGAATATGCAAATATAAATTTAAGGACTTAATTGAATACATATAAAAGTTAAAGACTTAAAATTGAAATAAATTAAAAAATACAAAAGAGTTAAATCGAAATAAATGCAAAATGTGAAGAAATAATAAAAAATATACTGACTTGCAATCATTCAAAAAATTGAAAAAATATAATATATATAATATAAAATTATATATAAACTATATTTATATTATAAACTATATAATTATTATATATATATATATATATATATAAATTATATTTATGTGCACTATATATATAAACTATGTATATAAAATTATAAACTATATTTATATTATAAACTATATAATTATTATAAGCTATATATATAAATTATGTTTATGTGAACTATTTATATAAATATAGTATATATATGTATGTATAACTAATATAAGTAATATATATATATATATATATATATATATATATATTAAAGAAACACTATGCCTAAACTATATAAAGTAATAAATTATATAGTTTATAAAAATCCTAAACCCTATATCCTAAACCCTAAACCCTAAACTCTAAATCCTAAACTTTATAAACTATATATGTATAGATACATTTGATAATTCATATATAGTTTATATAAACAATAGACTATATAAATTATTTATGTAACATTAACCTATAGACTATAAACAATAGTTAATATATGTAACTTATAGTATGTGTATACATGTAATGTAAACTATATATGTAACTTATAGTATATATATACATGTAATGTAAACTATATATGTAACTTATAGTACATGTATGTATAAACTATGTATATATATATATATATATCATATAAAGTAAATTACTTATTGTATATATATATATATCATATAAAGTAAATTACTTATATAGTTTATAGAAACAACATGCATAAACTATATAAATTAATAAAGTATATATTATATAAAAACCCTAAACCCTAAACTTGAGACCCTAAATCCTAAACCATAAACTTTAAATCCTAAACCTTAACCCTTACATCATAAACCCTAAACCCTAAACATAAACAATAGTTAATATATATAATGTAACCTATAATATATGTATACATGTAAACTATATATGTAACTTATAGTACATGTATCATGTATGTATAAACTATGTATAGTGTATATAAACTATGTATATATATAACCTATAGTATATGTATATATACAATCTATTTATATGTTATATAAACTATATATGTAACCTATAGTTTATATTCAGTAGTTTATATTAGTGAACTATATAATTTATACTTTACAAGGATACCTGAGAGCACCCGCATTACATACCCCAAACCACACATTTAATATTGCAATTAATTTTACTTTATTTACTATAATATTTCAAAATAGCATAGCATCCACACATTTAAACCACGTGCAATTAAACCACACATTTAATATTGCAATTAATTTTACTTTATTTACTATAATATTACAAGGATATCAAAAGTTTAAGTGCATTGCAATTAATTTTACTTTATTTACTATAATATTGCAAAGTAGCATTGCATCCACACATTTAAACCATGTGCGTCCTATTATACTTCTCCAAAGCATTAAAAAAACCGCACCATAGACAAAGAAGAACGTGCGCCGCTGCCCCATACCACCTTTTCTGGGAATTAAAAAGCCACATGTTGTCGATAATGCTCCTTTTCGAGAGCCCATCAGAAGATACAAGCGACACTACATACGCATTATCTTCTTGAGCCGCACACAATCCACCTCTGAGACACTATTCTGACAACAAAATTTAATAATGTTGGCAGCTATTTCGATATAAAAGCTCGATGAAGAAATTTCTGGTAGCAAAGTTAGGCTTTTAGCCTTATAACATTTTCATTATAAGATCTGAGAGCTTAAATTTTTTAATTTTTTTTTCATTTTATTGTATTGAACTTGAATTGACTCAAATGTAATTCAAATTTTATATTAAATGTTATTTAAATTATCATTATCAATTAAATTTATATTTTATATTATTTTTCATTTATGTTATAATTGTTAGATAATTTTTTTTTTACAAAAATTAAACGATATAGTTTATATTTATATTTTAGAGAATTAATCACGTTTAATACTAACATTCAGTTATTATCAATTTAATTATTATTTTATTGCCAAAATTATTCATATTATTAATGTAAACCATTAATATATGTTACATAATAAATACTTTTATTATTAATATTATTTTTTTCTTTATATAAATTAAACTATATAATTTATATAAATTAAACTATATTAATTTTCCTTTGCGTTATTAATAATATTTTATCTAATTTAAATTTAAATAATTTTATTAATTTTATTAAATAATTTTATATAATAGGTCTATTTATTAATATAAGTATCATAATTAAAAAGTAATCATATTAATATTTTAATTACATCATAAGCTAAAAAACTGATAATTTATAAGATTTCCATGGTAATATATAAGTCATGTAAATATCAGATCAGATCATTAACAAATCGGATCATTTACAGGTCAGGTTAAAAACAGGTCAGGTTGAAAACAAGTCAGGTTGAAAACAGGCTGGGTACTACCAGTTATTTACCAAGTCAATATCGAGTTTGGATTCATATCAGTCGGATGCAGTTGGGGTTCAGGTATCATATTTTCGGTTCAATTCGGGTTCAGGTCGTTCTCAGGTCGGATGCAGTTCGGGTTCAGGTATCATGTTTTCGGTTCAATTCGGGTTCAGGTCGCTCTCATGTCGGATGCAAGTCAGGTTCAGATCAACAATTTCCATGTCCAAATCGGGTACAAGTCAACACCAGTTCCGACTCGAGTCAGTTTCAGATCGCCACAGTACATGTCAAAAACAGTTTTGACTCGAGTCGGTTTCAGTCAGTTTTGCAGGTCGGGTCAGCTTTTTACAGCCCTAGTGGTGACTCGCCCTAGGGCTGTAACGTGTGCGGCCATCCTTGCATCTTCTGGAGTCTTCGGTTGTGGCGATAGAGGCGTGGCAGTGACTGGAGTAGAGCGTCAAAGGCGGCGGCCGTATAGACCATAGGATGTTAATGATACCCTAGGGTTTCTACTGGATCATTTGTGGGCTGTTGGATCTCACCAGATCCAACGATTGATAGATTTGGCGGCTGGAGATAGGGTTTAAAAACCCTAGCTACATTAGGGTCTGGATTGGGTCTATTGGGCCAGGTCTGGACCAGGTCTAGGCCTAGACTTTGTATTTTGTTTCTGTTGGGCCTATGGGTTCTTTGTAAATGGGTCTGTAATATTTGTAATTATTTAATAATAATAATAATAGTAATAATAAAATAAAATAAAACTGGACAAAAAAATTAGGGTCTATAATATTCGTACTAATAAATAATATAATAAAAAAGAATAATACTTGTTTAAAAAGTGTAGCAGAGGGTGAAATAGAAATTACGGGATGCAGAATGTGTTCGCTGAAGCCTTGAGCTGTGGTTAAAATTGGATTATGGTGAGGCACGTTAAAGTGCAAAACAACCTCACCAATGAGGCTGCGGTGAGATGAAAAGCAAAATGCTCCAAACATTCCATCACCGCAGGAAAGTGTGATTCCAATTGGTTGAGTGAGTTATCAAATTGCAAAAAGTATATTTTCTCGACTTTATAGGAAAAAGTAAAATAAACAAAAAATCTGTTCAACACTATGTTTACAGTAAAGTACAACTAATCTCAAAACTTATGCCTGAGCCTGACAATAATCCCAGGTTCAAGAGATTTCTAAACTTGGACAAGAGAGTAGATAGATCAATTAAAGTCGAAGATTCAAGTCAAGCTTGGATGGTTCTGCTGGCCGTTCAGATGGTTGAGGATCCAAACGGAAACTGCCTGGCCACATAAAATCCATTCCATCATCAACTGCCAACTGCACCGTGTAGGTATCATTAAATCTCGCTGCAGCAGCAGCTCTATCTATGGTTGATTTGTGCACAAGCGAATGCGGCCGAACACCAAGTGATCGAACTACATGACTGTTCATCGGCAAACTCATCATCATCCTATGGGATTGATATCTTCTGGCTGCACCTCGCTCCCTCTTGTGGGCGTTTTGGTGGCCACCCAAGGCTTGTGAACTGTAAAACTTCCTCTTGCAGAAGTTGCATGAGAAAACCTTGGAAGGAACTGGTCTTAACTGCGGGTCCAACTCAGACTCTGAGTCTCGTGCTGGTAATAAGTTCCCACCGAGTGCCAGGTTCAACCACTCTCCAGGATCCTCTTCTTCCATTGCTTCATTAACCCTTAGCTCCTCTTGTTTTGTAGATCTACTTTCAGTTTCAGCTGCTTCTTCTCTTTGGAAAACTATTTTTTTTTCTTTTGGAATTTAAAAGAATACAGAGGGATTTAAGAAAATTGATATAGTTTTAAAGACTTGGACTAAACTGGGGGAAGTGGATTATTAAATGGTGATCCGAGAGAATGAGGTTTGATATTTGGTGGTTGGCCTTTTCTTTTTACCTTATATGGTCAAATTGTAGTTTTGGTCCCTTTACTATGCTTAAATTAGATCCAGTCTTTGTATTTTTTTAGTATTATTGAATTAGAAGTTGTTATACCTTTCCGAGAAAACTCCTCAGGGAACACTAAAGCCCCTCCAATAAAGACACTCGAAAGAAGTGTTAAAGTCAAGGATGCACGCACCGAATATGCATAATTTCAATGGGTTGACACCGAATGTGCATAATTTCAATGGGCTAGCAATTGTTTATTAAAATAGAAATAGGGTTAATTACAAGATTAGTCCCTAAGCTTCAACTATAAATACCCTAGCTCATTTAGCTTCAAAATCATCCCAAAACATTTCTTTCTTCCTATACTAGAGAGCTTTCTTGTGAGTAGTAAGTGTTTTGTAAACACCTGTAAATTTTCTCTCTTAGTAAAATATCTGCAGCAGTCCGGAGACGTAAGCACAATTGGCTGAACTCCGTTATCAATTTTCGGGTATTATTTTTCTGCTTTTATTTCGCATTCTCACTAATCTGGTTATAAGGAAATTACTTGTACTCGGTTTATTTCCTAACAACTGGCATCAGAGCTTTTGGTTGTGACATCTGTCAATTTTTTGCGAGGTTACTATTCGGGTTACTATTCATGTGAATAGTGAATTTCGTGAATAGTGAAATTCGATCGACGATACGAGTTTGTCGACAGAGGTGTTCTAATACACGACGGTTCGCAGAAATTGTCAGAAACGATCCAAACGAAGCCAGATTCGAGTGGGAGAGATGGCTGCAGACGAAGGGAAGGTGAAAATTGAAAAGTTCGATGGTGTGGACTTTGGATTTTGGAAGATGCAAATTGAAGATTTTCTATACTAGAAAAATCTATATCAACCTCTCTCAGGAAAACAACCAGAGGGGATGAAGAATGAAGACTGAGCTCTTCTCGACAGACAAGCCCTCGGAGTTATCCGACTGACGTTATCCCGCAATGTTGCTTTCAACATAGCAAAGGAAAAGACCACGGCGGGTCTTATGGCGGCTCTCTCCAGTATGTATGAGAAGCCATCAGCCTCAAACAAAGTTCACTTGATGAGGCGATTATTCAATTTGCGGATGGCGGAAGGGGCATCAATGGCTCAACACCTAAATGAACTCAACACTATCACAACCCAGTTGAGTTCCGTGGAAATTGAATTCGATGATGAAGTTCGAGCTTTAATTCTCTTATCATCTCTACCAGACAGTTGGAATGCTACTGTTACAGCAGTCAGCAGCTCGTCGGGAAACAACAAATTAAAATCGACGATGTTCGAGATCTGGTATTGAGTGAAGAAATTCGACGAAGAGAATCGGGTGAAGCATCAACCTCCTCAGCCTTGCACACGGAGTCTAGAGGGAGAACTTCAGAAAGAAATTCAAATCGTGGAAGATCAAAATCCAGAAGGGGAAAATCAATAATGGGAAAGAAAGATTTTACCTGTTATAACTGCGGCAAGAATGGTCACTTTAAAAGAGATTGCCGAGCACTGAAGAAAAATACCGACGCACAGGATTCTGCCAACGTGACAAAGGAGACAGGTGATGTCATGATTCTAAGCGTCAACAGTCCGATTGAATCCTGGATCTTGGATTCAGGGGCATCTTTCCACTCCACCCTATGCCGAGAAATCATGGAAAACTATGTCAGTGGTGATTTTGGGAAGGTTCATCTAGCCGATGATGAAAACTTGAAGATCGTCGAAAAAGGAGACATCCGATTAAAGTTGCCAAACCAGAACACCTGGACGCTGAAAGGAGTGAGACATATTCCTGGCCTCAAAAGAAATTTGATTTCTGTAGGATAACTTGATGGTGAATGATTTAGCACAACCTTTTCAAGCTGTGAATGGAAGATTACTAAAGGAGCACTCGCATTGCTCGTGGTAAGAAAACTGGTACTCTCTATATAACCTCAAATTTAGAGAATATCATTGCAGTAGCAGATGCTGATGGAAAATCAAACCTATGGCACCAAAGGCTTGGCCATATGAGCGAGAAAGGATGAAGACACTTTTGTCAAAGGGGAAGTTGTCGGATCTAAAGAATGTAGATGTCGGACTATGCGAAGATTGCATCTTTGGAAAACAAAAGAAAGTCAGCTTTGCAAAGATTGGTAAGACACCCAAGGCTGAAAAGTTAGAGTTGGTTCATACTGATGTATGGGGACCATCTCCAGTTCTATCTCTTGCAGGTTCACTATATTATGTCACCTTCATCGATGATTCTACAAGGAAGGTGTGGGTTTATTTTCTGAAGAAGAAATCAGAAGTCTTTGATACCTTCAAAAAATGGAAGGCCATGGTGGAAAATGAGACTGGTTTGAAAGTCAAGCGGTTGAGGTCTGACAATGGAGGAGAGTACAGAAATAGGAGATTCAAAGACTTCTGCGCAAACAATGGGATCAAAATGGAGACAACAGTTCCCATGACACCGCAGCAGAATGGCGTAGCAGAGCGCATGAACAGAACTCTGAATGAACGTGCCATAAGCATGAGGATACATGCCGGATTGCCCAAATATCTATGAGCTGAAGCTATCAACACTGCAGTTTACCTGATCAACCGTGGGCCCTCAGTTCCTTTGGATGGCAGAATACCAGAGGAAGTTTGGAGCAAGAAAGAAATAAACCTTTCACACTTAAGAGTGTTTGGTTGCATTTCTTATGTACACATAGACTTTGCTGAAAGAAGTAAACTTGATGCTAAGTCCAACAAATGTTCCTTTGTTGGTTACGGCGGTGATGAGTTCGGTTACCGGTTTTGGGACTATGAAAATCGGAAGATCATCAGAAGCAGAGATGTCATTTTCAATGAGAATGTGATGTACAAAGACATGTCAATTGTAGAATCAAGCAGCTCCAATACCAAAGCTGAAACAAAGGAATTTGATGAGTTCGAGGAGATTTCTGGAAATGATGTTCAGATTAGTCCTGAAGCAGTTCAAGAAGAACCAGGCACACCGGAACTAAGACGTTCCTCAAGAATTCCTAAACCAACCCAACGGTATTCTCCTTCTTTGCACTACTTGTTGCTGACTGACAATGGTGAACCAGAGTGCTATGATGAAGCAATGCAAGTGGAGGATTCAGTCAAGTGGGAGTCTTCCATGAAAGATGAGATGGACTCGCTTATGTCAAATCAGACGTGGGAATTAGCTGAATTACCACCAGGAAAGAAAGCGCTTCACAACAAGTGGATTTACAGGATCAAAGAAGAACACTATGGGAGCAAACATTACAAAGCGAGATTGGTTGTCAAAGGTTTTCAGCAAAAAGAAGGTATTGACTACAATGAAATTTTCTCTCCAGGCGTGAAACTGTCTACTATCAGACTGGTGTTGAAAATTGTAGCTGCATAAAATCTACATCTTGAGCAGTTAGATGTAAAGACAGCTTTCCTTCATGGTGATTTGGAGGAAGAAATCTATATGAGGCAGCCAGAAGGCTTCATAGAGGCATGCAAGAAAAACCTGGTATGCAGGTTGAAGAAGAGCTTGTATGGTCTAAAACAAGCTCCTAGACAGTGGTACAAAAAGTTCGATAGTTTCATGGGTAGCAGTGGTTTTACCAGATGCCAAGCAGATCATTGTTGCTACATCAAGAGGTTCGATAATAGCTTCATTATTTTATTGTTGTACGTTGATGACATGCTCGTTGCAGGCTCAAACATGCAAGAGATCATAAACTTGAAGCAAAAATTATCGAAGCAGTTTGCAATGAAAGATATGGCCGCTGCAAAGCAGATTCTTGGGATGAGGATCAAGAGAGACACAAAGTCGGGGACTTTGATGTTATCATAGGCTGATTACATCAACAAAGTACTCTCCAGGTTCAACATGCAAGATGCTAAACCAGTAAGTACACCTTTAGGTGTTCATTTCAGACTCTCTAAAGACCAATCACCAAAGACGGAGGGAGAACGTGCACACATGGTGAAGGTACCGTATGCCTCAGCAATTGGAAGTCTGATGTATGCCATGGTTTGTACCAGACCAGATATTGCTCATGCAGTGGGAGCTGTTAGCAGGTACATGAATAATCCGGGCAAGGTACACTAGGAAGCAGTCAAATGGATCCTCAGATATCTGCTGGGTACCACAAACAAAGCACTTTGTTTCAAAGGTGGAGATACGACACTGACAGGCTATTTAGATGCTGACTTAGCCGGATTTGTCGACATTAGAAGAAGCACTACAGGGTATGTCTATACTCTAGGAGGAACTGCAGTGAGTTGGGTTTCTGTTGACGAAAACGGGTAAAGAAAACGAAAGAACACGAGAATTTTACGAGGTTCGGCAATGTGCTTACGTCCTCGGTGCCTAGGCGGCGCTAGAATTTTATTCAATGATATTTTAGGTCTAGGTTACATCTCTATTTATAATAGAAAACCCTGGTACATAATTACAAAATTAACCATGTACCGTACCGCGGGGGCTACGCCCCCGCACCCCCAACCCACATAATTCGTAACCCCACAACAAGACTTTCTTTGTAAGGACAGTTGATATTCGCTTCGCTCACTCCGCTCCATCTCCTGTCCTCTTTACTGGTATATTTATGAGCCATACCTAACAAATCTCCACCTTGGCGAATATCATGCCTCTTGAAAATTCAATGTGGGTTGGGTTACCTTGATTCTTTAACAACTCGAAACATTCAACAAGTCCAAGCAATGCTTGAACTTGTCTTTCATAACTGGCTTGGTGAACATATCAGCGGCATTCTCATCAGTATGTACCTTCTGAAACAAAACCTCTCCAGATGCAACCAACTCTCTGATGTTGTGGAACCTTACATCAATATGTTTAGTTCTAGCACGATACACCTGATTCTTAGCCAAGTGAATAGCACTTTGATTATCACAAAGCAACTGAACTCCACCTTGTTGAACACCCAACTCCTTCACTAAACCATAAAGCTTCTTTTGCAGCTTCAGCCGCTGCCATGTATTCAGCTTCAGTTGTAGATAGTGCCACGACAGA